GTATGGAGCCAAAACCGTTCAAAAATATGTAAACACTCAACTGTATATAACAGCTTTCACAGATAAGTTGTTAAAAATGGCTTCGAGTGAATGAAACCCGTAGGTTTTAGAAAGGATCGTCGTTCTTTGAACTGTGTGAACTGGCGCTACATAATTGCAGACAAATAACTGTAACAAATAAAAGCAACCACGTCACAAAAGGATGTTCGAAATGCATCAATTAAAGTAAATATCACGTCTTACTTTAAGAGAAATTAATAACTAAATAATAACTTTCCATATTGCTTCAAAAATGCTAGGAAGGAAAATCCCATCAGTACTTGAAGGGGCGAAAAACTTGAGAAAGCGATTTTCTCGACAAATTGTTTTAAGAGAAAGATTCATAAATTTCAATGGAATGAGGCACTAGAGAGTATCGAAAGAACAGAAGACTAGGTAGAGGAAAGAAATCTCCGTCAATGACTGAAGATGAATATTTCCTTATACGGAAAAGGTTGTGATCTTTAGCATTATCAATGTTAAAGGTAAGCGTAGTTATTGGGATATTTAAAAAAATACTTATATATCATGATGTTTCCGCAGGATTCAAGAAATCAAAACGTATAATTCCTTCTGCCAATCATGAAATATTGACCACGACCATCATCAGGTTCTACCTTGAATTGGGTGCTTCAACCCGGTCCAGCCTCTGTTCGCAATTCCATCAGTTGTCCTCCCAGTCTGCAGTGCGATCAAGAAAGGAAGCGTTTTGTTGCTCATAAAAGCAGTAGAAACTTCGTAAAGACATGGTAGATGATTGTTTTTCAGTTCGTGATTCACACCAATAATTGAGTTTTTTTTTTAATTCTCCAGTATGGAACTGATGAAAGCTGAATGTTTAATCAAGTACTGAAGAATATTTGTATAGGATAGCTTCAAGAATAGTTGTCACATTGTGACATTTTAGAAAATGAATGTCTCCCAATGAACTCCCTTCTCATCATCAGGATGTGCCCAGTATACTGATCATAACGATACATCTACGGTTTTAACCATAGCCCTTGACAATTGTTAAGTCTTCAAGTTGGCACGCTCTATATTCACATATTTCGAAAAAGAAAAAGGTCAGAGATAAAAGGTCACTTTTTATCTTTCGAATGACATATAAAATAGGAAAGTAGATGGCTTTCTATAGGATTAATTGCTTTCTGTTGCAAGCTATTTCCTTGATAAATACAATGCAACACAGTAGCCTTCTTGTAGACCTGCCATCTGGTTTCTTGTCCATCCGTTTGTTTTTTCAGTGATGATCTTCCATTGACAGACATTTCTTATAATTTAAACGCATAGAATATAATTGTACGATATTTTTCTTTCTGTTCCACCCATTTAAAACATTAAAAATGCTGTAATGTTGTTTTTGTTCAATAGTCGAGAATTAGAAAGGCCGTAGTTAGAGAGAGTATTTCAGGAAACAGAAGGCTAAAATACATTGGGATCTCCCCGTATGAGTCCGAAACTCACGCACATCGCCACTCTTTTAATATTGTCTTTGTTCAAAATAGACGGGAATTATGGAGACTGAAATTAGAGAGAGTATCGAAGGAACGGAAGTCTATTTAATTCTTTGTGGTCCTCTTCATGAGTTCGAATCTCATTCTCGTCGCCAATGTTGTAATGTTGGCTTTGTTTAAAAAAGCCGAGAATTAGGACGGCCATAGTTAGGGAGATCATTGAAGGAAGAGAAGACTAGCTAGAGGAAACAAAGAAAAAGAGCTTTATTAAATACTCATACAAAGGAGTTTACAATAGTCGAGAATTAGGAGGCCATAGTTAGAGAGATTATCGAAAAAACAGAAGACTAGGTAGAGAAAACAAAGAAATGGTTTGTTAAATACTCATACATAGAACGGAAATAAATCAAATACTACTGAAATCATTATCTGTCTATATTTCTGAGATGAGGAAATATGTACATTATTTACATTATTCGGACTATTATCCTCATCTTTGTTGGCATATTTATTACAACGTTTCGGCCTTTCAGTATCCTTCTATATTTCTGAGATCAGGTATTATGTACACTGTTTTCATTATTCAGACTATTGTCCCTATCTTTGTCGCCATATTTATTACAACGTTTCGGCCTTTCAGTATCTGTCTATATTTCTGAGATGAGTTATTATGTACATTATTTACAGTATTAGGACTATTGTCCTTATCTTTGTCGCCATATTTATTACAACGCTTCGGCCCTTAAGTATCTGTCTATATTTCTGAGATGAGGTATTATGTACATTATTTACATTATCCAGACTATTGTCCTCATCTTTGTCGCCATATTTATTACAACGTGTCGGCCGTTGTACGCTCCGGCCTTCTTCAGTTGGTTGGAATGTCGAGCTTAACCCTTTTTTTCGCTCACTAGACTGTTCTAGTTCCACGTGCCATGTTTAATGTATATCAGTTATCAGTTATCTCCTGTTAATTTCCCTCAGAAAGTTCTCCACTGCCTTAACCGGGTATTGAACTCACACACTTTAGGTCCTGTTACTGGATCTATCGAACGCCTATATCTAGTATGCCATGTGTCCTTGTAATAAATATGACGACAAAGATGAGGACAATAGTCCGAATAATGTAAATAATGTACTCAAATCATGCTCTATTCGGCTACTGCCATATTTGTAAGAGCAGTCCATTGTCACAGCATCAGTGAAGAGCAGACTCTACAACAAAAATAGACAAGAGAAAGAGAATAAAAATCTCAATCTCTGTCATTGTCCATTGAAATTTATAAAATATTTCTCTTCAAATTTGTTTTATAAAGCCCACTAACTGTTATTGTTCTTTCTATCTTTTTTCTTTCTTTTTGAAATTAAACTCTTGTGTATATCAACATATTTTAGTCTAGTTACATGTGCTACCAATGTTTGTTGTTGTTGCTGGAAGTGTTCAGCTGACTTGTTTTTTTCTTTTATCTTATATTGTGAAATTCTTCACTTTCCTAATCGATTGTTTGTTTGACGGTACATCAGCTCTTTCTAGACCATTTAATGTCGAAATTTAGTTTAATTGAAAGTTTTCAAGTAATTTAATAATTTTATTATTATAGGTAGATTTATACAATAAATATGTATTTTTGATATTTTTTTTAAAAAAAATGAACGTATTGCTGGTATAATTATATACTTGTTATCCTTTCATATTGTTCTGTTTTTGTTCACTATTTTTCCATAGGTAGGACCCTAACAGGTGCTACCACCTCGGGTCTGGGTGGATCTGAGAACAAAAGTAATTGTTGTTAGAAGTGGTTCTACCCTCCTCAAAACCCCCAATCTCCCCATTGGAGGCCTTACTGCCGAATGTATTTCATCCTCACACTCAGGATGCCCTTCGTTTTTTAATCTTGTAACCCCAGCCTATAGATAAAGGATCGTCGTCTTCTAGATTTAAAGGTTTTATTATATTTGAATGTATTCTGAATCATTAAACTTAGAATACGGTTCTATATAGATTATAGTTTAGGCATTTCTTAACGCGTTGGACGCCATCCATATGAGAATCGATATCTGGCGAGGCTATTTAAGAAGATGACTCGAGTTCTCAGTTCAATATTTTAGTTTTGTACTATCTTACAGTGTTGTACAAAGGTACCCCGGAGCAATATATTGTGTGCTTAATTTCATTTAAGTATGGGATGTGCTTAAAATTTATCAATGCAACGTCACTGTTTATTCCAAAAGAAACATAATGTCAATTAAGAAAGAAAAAAAATTTTTTTTTCCAACCTAATATAAATCAATATGCCAAAGAATTTACTCTCGTGATTCTGAGAATTAATTACTGAACATAGAAGAATTAGAAATAAAAAAATTAAAACTTAGTACAATAGAATCTCTGACAACCGGACTAAGAAGGTCTTCCAGATATGGAGAATTGGTTACAAATTCCAGATATGAGGGTTTATATTTAGATTAAAATGAAAGAACTGAAATCAGGTTTAACACTTATGTTCAATGTTTTATAACAAACAAAATCTGCTAATGGTGAGTGAAATATAACGGAAATGATTTTAAGAAAAAAGAAATAAATTATGTAATGTTAATGAAAATTAATAATTTCAAGTATGCCACGTATGCAAAACAAATAATGTAACAAGGATTTTTTAATCAATGTTGCATGATGATTCTTTCTCTTCTAATGTCATTCTCAACTTTTCCCGCATTTCTTTTTGCTTTTGTTCTTGATATTTTTTTTTAAATGAAAGACAATTTTTAACTCAATAACTTTGCGTTATTGCAATCGGTAGAGCTGAATGCTGGCTTTCTTTCCATAAAATTGACAATCTTTTCAATAGCTTTTTCAGTTGCAGTTCAAGTTTCATCAAAATCATGCATCTCGTCGCTATCTTGTTGCAGATGAGTCTCGTTGTCATCCTTTCCTCTTATTCCCATTATCTTTTGCATCAGTAAAAGCCATTAGGGTGAAATAAGCATTAGCAATTATCCAAAGTGAATTTCCTGAAAAACAGATATTTCAAATCAGTCACAATATACACATCAAAATCATGCCCGGATATGAGGGACTCCGGATATGAGGGACTCCGGATATGAGGGACTCCGGATATGAGGGACTCCGGATTCTACCGTATTTCAAAAAGATTGTGCCTGAATCTTTCCTTTACAAAATGCAGTCGTATTGGTATGTCATATTACTGTTTACTTTCATATCGGAGCTTTGAATAAGTACATAACTGAATTAATATTAGACATCTGTTTTCTTTAGCGTGTGACACGTACTATTAATTAAAATATTTATACGGTGCCCACTCGCTTAAAACAAATTGTGATTAGCATGTTTTCGAGCTAACACGGATGTTCGTCGAAATTAACCTTTTTTTGTTTTACTTACGGCGAAAAATTTTTACTTAACACGGAAAGAGTTTAATTTTAGTCCATATTACGTTTCCATATTAATGGAAGACAGGTAACCGATCTCTTACCATTGAGTGACATGTTATGTTCTCTCTCTGTCGCCCTCTCTCTTACGCCCTCTCTCTGTCGCCCTATCTTTCCGTTTCTCTATCTCCCTCTTTGTCTCTCTCTCTCTCTCTCTCTCTCTCTCTCTCTTTCTTTATGTCTTGGGTCCTTACCTATAACTACAGAATGAACTCTTCCTAACACTATGTATACTACGCCTCTCAAGAGAGAGGGTCGAATCGAGTCGAGCCGATAGTAGTTCACTCCAAACCAGACTGACAGTCTTACTAACACCTTCCACATCTTATTATTTCGTGTAATATACCTTCATTATTTCTACTCTTGTGTTCGTGTTGTTCTTCCTTGGTCCTGGTCTGGACCATAACACTTTACCACCTCTCTCTTTCTTTCCCTATCCTTCTCCACCTCTCTAAGTCTTAATTTAACATATTTTCACATTTAGATACCAAAGGCCCCTCTTAGATGCCTAATAGATGTCGGTGCATATGTTCAATATTTTCAGAAAAATTTCCAACACGCCGAAATTAAGAACATCCCGTTACCAATTTCAATTTTGAACATTTAACTAATTTCCAAACTTCTTATATTAAGACACAACTTTTAGTGAATACTGAAAAAATTCGGACCCCACAATTATTAAGAGCCCCTTAAGAGTAAAATGCAAAATAAAAGTGAGAATATTTTTCTTTTTATTTAACCCTAGAACACTAACCATCAATTATAATTACACCACTAGTAACCCTGGGTATATTATACCCAATTTTGAAAATATCAAAAAACAATATTAAATATAAATGTTTATTTGAAATATTTCACATGCAGGCACTTCAAATTTTGTACTTTGAGTTAACATTAATAGGAACTGAAAAACATTATTTAGATAAGAAAATCAAGTACTGAAAATTGTAATTAAATATAGGAAAATTTGCGCTGGGTACTATATAGCCATGGTTAGTGTTCTAGGGTTAATATTGCCGTATCCCTTCAGGACGTGTTGCTCTCCTCATCTTCATATTCTTTGTAGCTCTTACTAATATTTATCTTTTCATCATCGTTAAGTAGCTTGTTCCCTAATTCCTCCGTTCCTATTTCCTTCTATATTCCCTTTGCTGTGTTAGTCAAATTCTCCAATCCCAGTTTCCTCATTAAGTGACAGAAATTAGCTGTCTCCGTTTGATTCTAAGTATGTTTCCTTTTTTTACCATTTTGTCTTTTTCCCCATTAAACCTTCCTATGTTCAGTTCATAGTATACTCAAAATCCTTCCATAAAACCACATTTCTGCTACCGTAAGTCTCTTCTTTATCTGTGAGGAGATTGTCCAGCATTCACTACCATATACAAGCATTTCGACAAGATGTAATGAGTAAGGAAAGTTTGTCTCGATAGAAAAATTACGATTTCGTCGTGAATTCTATCCTCACTGAGTCCTCAATAATTTCGGCCTTGTGTCACATGCAAACTACGCTTAGAAAACCATTGAGGACTTCAACGTTGTGTAACGATTACAAAGTTTGTCTAAATCAATTCAAAAGCGAGTTCAATCTTCATTAGTTTTCCCATACTTTCGGCCTTGTGCCACATGTAAACTAAGCTTACAAAATCTCCCCTACCATATATGAGGACTGCTATTCACTATTTACATTATTCGGACTATTGTCGTAATCTTTGTCGCCATATTTATCACATCGTTTCGGCCGTTGTACGCTCCATCCTTCTTCAGGTGGGTGGAATGTCGAACTGAACTCTTTATTTCGCTCACTGGGGTAGACTGTTCTAGTTCCACTTGCCATTTTTTAATGTATGCCAGTTATCAGTTATCTCCTCTTAATTTCCCTCTCCAAGTTCTCCAGTGCCATAACCGGGTATTGAACTCACACGTTTTGGTCCTGTCACTGGATCTAACTAAAGCCTTTATCCACTTCTTGAATCATTATCCTAAAAATATTTATAAAAAGGGGGCATGGAAGTTACATTATGGCAGTGGGAAAGTGACTGAACACGGCATGCCAGGAAAGTACACATAAAATCGCAGTTTCTTCTTAAAAATTGACAAAATGACGTTCTTTCATGTTTTCTTTTTCCATCTAATAAATACACATTGTAAATTGAACATAACTATAGCAATAGTGCCAAAAGGAATTGTTTCGGTTACTCCTGGGGGATTGGCAGAGGAAGAGAAGGGTTTTTTAGAAGATGCTGCGTTTGAAGTATATGGTCTGTGCTGGAGGCACTCACTCTTCCCTTGTGTTCCCAACTTGTAATTATGTCCACAATTTGTAATTATGAAAGGGTGTGAATAATTCGGTCCACAAATGTCTCTCTCCCTATCTCTCTCTCTCTCTCTGTCTCTCTGTCTCTGTCTGTGTGTCTGTGTGTCTGTCTCTCTCTCTCTCTATCTCTCTCTCTCATATATATATATATATATATATATATATATATATATATGTAATTATTTTTATTATTATTATTATTATTATTATTATTATTATTAATTTCCTAAATAACATTACCGTTGGTACTTCACTCCATCCAGGGATATCTTGTATTATTTGCTGGTAGAATCATATATGCTGACTTCTTACAATTGCACATCTTCTCGTGTAGCGGTGTGTCTATTATTTTAACCTCATTCCTGAAGGGATCGTGAGCATTTTTCGTCAATACCTTTTATTCTCGTTCGAACATTTCATAGAATAATAACAATATTTCACCTCAGAAGTCCAGACAATAACTGCGCACGTATCCCTGGGCATTTATTGCACGCAACTACTGGAGAAGAATTCTCGAGAGGTATGTTAAAAATATTAAAAATAAAATCAAACAAGGACTGTGCATAAGAAAAATGGACGGAGAAAAATCTGAAAGGAAGCCATCGGTTTTGCTTTAAATGGAAAAGAAGAACGTTAATACGCATGCGTAGCTCTGCATATTCATGTGCATATATCGATATGTAAATGTGTTTGTGTGCAAAAGATGTAGACGAGCAGATTTATTGAGAATCTTGGCAGAATATAAAACCACTCTCGCTCTTTTTTTCTTGTTTTTATATCTTGACAAAAAAAGGTAATAATTTTTTCTCGGCTCGTCAGCCAAGCCAACCGATTGGAACAGCATCAATTGATAATCGTGCAATGAAAAATGGCAAAAAGAAAGACAAACGACCTCGGTACCAATCTAATAGATCATCAGTTAACTAGAGCGTTATTTCTTCTTTTTGTAAACTGCTATATTTGTGGATACTTTCGTCCGATACACACATAAAATGTACTTTTGGAACTTACGAAAATTGCTGTGGATTATTTTTTTTATATCATTTAACCCCAAGCAAGGCGTTAATACCACTAAGACACAAAGGGTGCACTGGGAGTGTGTTGTGGTAGGATCCACCTAACTTGCATAGTGGAGTACCGACCATATAAATATGGTTGGTACCGAGAAGACGGTGAGAGGAATCAAGAGATTCAATCCAGAGACTCTGCCCGACTGCGACTAAGTCAACACATTCTCCAGGAACGGTCTTCCCAAGAATATACAAAAGACTATATGTAAATATTGTGTACACTTTCTTGTTTCAATACATTTTGTTCTAAGTACATTTTGTGTTGTATTATTATTCCATGCATTAGTCAAGTTTCAACAGAGTGTGAGATAATCAGTTGGCTTTTGTGAGAAGAAAGGATAATAAAAACAACAGGTTTCAGAACATGGCGATTGACGTTGCATTTAAATCTTTGAAGATTGTAGATAGCAGAGAAGCAAAAAACTGGAAGTGAGATCCAGATTCTCTATCGCCCCCACACCCACTGGGCAGTATGTTCCCGGCGACAGGAAATAACCGTCTAATATCTATGACTTGTAAAATTTAACTCAGAGATAACACTTTTAACTATAACTTTCCTACGTTCAGCTCAGCCAATCAGAATCCACATCCCTATTTTGTCTACAATCTGACCTTAACGTCAGGCTTAGAAAGTCTCAGCCATATACACTGCAATTAAAAATCATAGCCTGAAACTATTATTTAACAATAGGTCCCTTGCACTCGACTACATCCGATTTGACCTCCACAATTATGTCAAGGGTAAAGGGCGTAGTTGAGATCTTACAGTCAGTACTGATAAATCTCACGAGTCTATACCAATCGGAAACTATATACCTGGATGAGATTCTCATCTTAGTAGTTGTGGTAGTTAAGGAATAATTGGGTGATCTTACCGGATACATGGTGTCTTCATAGATTTTCTATTAATTTTTGTGGAATGAACGCGTATGTGTTGGTAAGGTCGAACTACAATGCGGCTTGGACGCCCCTAAATTACTTTGGCTCCTCTCAGTATCTGTGTAACTACTCCAGTATGTTCGAGGCATCAAGAAATGCCAGGAATCCCCCTCTTATTTTCTGAAATATCGATGTAATTGTTCACCAAAAGACATCTAGATAGTCGCCGTGATAAAATGCTGAAAAAGATTTTACTTTCAGTGTAGAATTAAAAGATGCTCCTGAATTGATTTAAATCTCTGGAGTTTTCTTCGTTGGGTATTCACACACCGTCTGCAAATCTCCATTGGGCTGCAACTCTACCTCTGCACCATATCTCCTACAGGATTTTCCAAAGGAGCTGGAGAAGACTTTCCCAGCGTCTATAGATGCTCTAAGGAGCTCCCCTCGTGCCTGGAGTTGAGCTTGATCTAGCTGTCTTCCCTTATCTCCTTCTAGTCTGGTTCATTCAAGTCGAAATTGGTCGTTGGCTGGGTTGGCTAAATAACGTCTTCTATGTGTCCGAGTTCTTTTTACAGTGTCATGCAATGTGTCCTAGAACACGTGTTGATATCATCCGCAGAGCATTCCAGTTGACCACACCGTTTGTCGTTGAGCAAATTCTTAGTGAGGCCGAAGGGATCTACTATGAACGATCATCTTTTTTTTTCACTATTTCCTTCCTTCAGCTCCTCAGCCACTCAGCTTTACGAATGGACTTCAGCCTCGTTCTTAAGACATCTGAAAGCTCTATTAGTGTATAGCATTCTTCCACACTAACCTGCTTATACGCTTTCTTGAGTTCCCTTAACTCCCGCCTTGAGCCCTGTATCCTATCTGGCTTACGTTACTGCTGTAGGTTTTCTGTTTCGTCCCTTTATGTA